ATTTTATTGCCTGCTTAACCAATTAATCAAAACAAAAGCAAAGCATAATCTAAGAGTGTGAATTTAGCTCTTGTGATGTGATGAGCAAGGTCTTTGGATGAGAGCACAACACTGGGCAGACTAGTGTTATCTAAGCTCAACATTGTATTGGTGCCTTCATCTCCAGGATCCTTACTATCTCTTAATCATGTCTGGGCAGAGAGCTGCAGCTAATGTCCATCTGTGTGGCATTTTTCTGATGGGTGAAATATGTTTTGTGCAAGACTAATGTAATCGCACCAAATGGTTCACGAAGTCTGGCTTGTATGTGGTTATTCAGTGTAATGCTTGGAAGTCAGAAGTTTATATAGTGCCCAGTAGTGATTTCCAGGAGGCCCTTAAATATCAATTTCCCTTTTTGTATTCCACTTTTGTACCAAGGGAAGTTGATAGCAAAGCAACTGATAAAACTAAACACATCTGACTTGAACTGAGTTTCCCATCAAAGGGCCTAATGTAAAGCATATGTATGTAAGGAGAGGAACATGGAAAGGAGGGTGGTACCAAATCAGTACTGCCCAGACTGCTCACTTGCATTGATGCCTTTGTTACAGGGGTCTGTAAGCAATAGGACACTATTTGGACCAGAAATTGCCCCCCTGCTTTCACACACTGCCAGTGTAGCATGTGATTTCTGAGTCCTCCCAGGCTGATGCAACTTGGCAGTGGATGCTCTGGTCCATATTCTGTGAGCACTCCAGTACCTCACCTTTAGATGAACTCTCGCCTGCACTGGAACATGCCCTGTGGGCAAATACCAAAAAGAGGGAGGGAGGTGGTTTTATCCAGCACGTATTTGGCAGTTTGTCCTCTGTCTCATCCTCTTCTGAGCCCAGTGGGTGCATACTTCACATGGAAAGAAGGCTTTAAAAACTTGAAAAAGCAAAATGTTTTCAGCTGACTTTGCAACTGTGTATGGCACAGACAACATGAGGCCATTCCCTAGTCACTTGAAAGATCTTGGTTGTGTCCAGCATGGTTCACATGGAAAGAAGGCTTTAAAAACTAGAAAAAGCAAAATGTTTTCAGCTGACTGTGCAACTGTGTATGGCACAGACAACTTCCTAGTCACTTGGAAGATCTTGGTTGTGTCCAGCATGATGCAAGGAATTCAGATGCAGAGCAGCAATAGCTCCCATCAGTGAAGAGATGAACAGTGCTAAGAGGGAGCTGATGAATGATGAGGTCTGGCAGATGCCGTGCAAGTCTAGCACATCCATATTTCTTCAGAAGAAGAGACCTTAGAAGGCAGATCTGGTGGCTTTTAGAAGCAATTAGAGCATGCAGAGAAGGTTTTTCTTTTGAATGCCATAAAAGGCTCAGAAACCACAAATAAGCCTTCATGTGCATTTAAGGGACAAAATGTTACAGCCTGTTGGGAGCCTCAGTTGCTGTGAGGTCCCCAAGCACAAGCACTGAAGTGATGGTGAGATATCTGGGGAATTCTGCTGGAGTCACTGGGAAAAGAACTCGTAACAAATATTTAGGCTGCTGAGTTTCTATATTTTTCTTTTGTTCCTCCTTTTCGATGAGGGTCTTTTAGAGCTCAGGAAGCCTTTTGTTTTCCATCTTTTCCTTGCATTCCGAGGCTATGATTTGACAGAGCTGCAAGCCTGACGTTAAGGCTCCCACTACCACATTAAAACTACAATAGCTTTGTGATACAAAATGTTAAGCTACCATGAAATTACTCTTCATATTTCTTCAAATTTGCTCAGAAATATTTTGATGGGGGTCCAAGTGGGCACAAAGTTCTGGCTTTGTGGGATCAGCTCTTGCCCGCTCTGCCCCGGTTGGCACGAAGCCGCTGTGAGTTCTGCAACGTCTGCTCTGGTTGATTGGACAGAAATGCAGTCACGTTGTTGCCCCTGTTCTGGATCCGGATTGCACCCACCCCAGAGCGTGGGTTTGCCTAATGTGGTACCAGTGCTGTACTTGGGGTTTGTTTTTACAGCTCTGGCACATGGGAGTATGCAAAGTCGGAAGGGCAGTGGATTAGCTCGCAGGTCATTTCAAGGTGTTATTTTTGAGGGGTAGGTGTTTTTATGTTATGCCACAGATGCCGAGATGAATTGCAAGCAGTAAACTGTATCCTGTAGAGATTACGGTTTAATTAAGTGGTGACTGACAAAAATACACGGTCCCTCAATGTATCGAAAAACAAGCTGGGGGCAGCGTGGTGAGGAATAATAGATCTTCAGCTCTGTGGGCAAGGTCACTTAGTCCAAAGTATGTCCAAATTGCCACGCTTGTATCTATGTCTCTGACCCTGGGCAGTTTTAAGCCAGTGGGTTTTAATTCTTTCCGCCAGCCCAACATAGAGCTCTGCAGGGTCTAGAGGCAGCCCAGGAGGCCGCATAGCTCCTCGAGAGCCCGGCTGACACCGAGCTCGGTCACATTGCTGCAGTCAGATGCTGGCAGAATTCAAGCCAGCTCATTTAAATCTGAATTTCCTATGTCAGCTCTTTTAATTTGCCAGGCAGGACAGAGGGAAGGTGGAAAGCTCGTCCCGAGAGGTGAGCGTGCTCTGCCTTCCTCCAAGGGCTGCGAGTGCTATGTTAAAAAAGGACCTCATGGACTTCGTCAGGCTGCTGAAACCCCCTGGTTACTCCATTGTGTTATGGGAACTTGCCCAAGAGCATAAAATCCCCAGAGGGAATAATCTGCTTTCCCCTAGGGGGTAAGATGCTGAGTTAATTATTAACTTAAAGTGCAGGTCAGCCTCCTTGGGGTGCATAGGCTGTGGGTCTAAGGTTTATTCCAGACCCTCGTGTTGGGTGTTGGAAGCTCCTGCAGGAAGCCGGCTCTTCTGGATCTTGGATCACATTGAAGCAAAATGTGAAGCCTTGCAAAATTGCTGGGAAGAGAGCAAGGCCAAGGGGGGGTCACTCTTAACAACTGAGAGACGTGTCTGTGCTTTTAATTTATTGAAACTCTATAGATGTTCTGTATTTGGCTCAAAGAAGCTCAGATTGTGTGCAGCATTAAAAGCATTTCTGGCTTGCTCACACGCTTCTGAGCTCTTTGAACCTGCCTTCAGAGGCAGGGTGTTTGCTATTGAATATCCAAAGGGCTGGTAACCTTTTGACCCAATTTTAGATTCTGACAGGTCCGATTTGTTTCTTTATACAATACACTCGTTTTTCTCCTTCCTATTGCATTTCCTCAGAGCAGCAGCTCTCTGTGTCTAGCACAGATTGAGAAATGTTTCTAACAAGACATGAATTGATGCTGACACCAATAACCAAATGCAGCCTATGAGAACTTGCTGCATTTTTCACAGCCACAGTTTATTTCTGGCCAGAAAACCACAGATTCCCAGTGTGTTTACTGTGCAGCATCAGAAAGTTGGTCTCAGGCAACCTTCATCAGTCCAGCTTCAGTATTCCTGTTGCCAACCATGTTCCTGGGAGCAAGTGGTAAATGCTGCACATGAAGTCCTGTGGTTGAGGGAGATGAAGGAATGACCTTTGCTGAGTAGGGACAGACGGACCTGGGGCTTTGCCCTCTTGCCCAACAGCCGAGGAGGCAGGAGAAAGAGCAAGAGTTGGGAGAGGGAACAGCACCGGGTTAGCAAGGACCAGGAAAAGTCTGTCGGGCACCTGTGGATACTCCAACTCATCCATGTTGTTCCTTGGCAAGGTTTTGGATGCTCTGAGACCCGCAGTTCCCAGCCCTGTTGCTATTCAGTGTGCTACTCAGCACTGAGCTTTTGTCTGAGCTAGCAGAATGACTTCCAACTGGCTTCTCTTTCCTGAAGCCTGGGAGATTTTATGGTCAGGAGGAAGAGGTGTTGGCAGTACAGCCACAGCATGACGTGCTCCATTAGCACCTGGCCAGCTGAATTTGAGAAGCTGTTTGGGTTTTGATCCTCCATCTAGGTAAGATGTTTAATAGGCTATTCATTCAGACCATAAGCACTGTTTCCCAGCCAAAAACCTGAGCTCATCTTCCCTCACCTCTTTAGGTGTTCGTGTTACAGGCTTCCAAACTGGCTCCTGTAAATTCTGACAGGAGAAGGCAAATGGAGAGCCATAAATTTCCTCCTTGCTAGATCGCTAAGTGCTGCAGAGAGTAATGGTAGCCAGAATAGCCATTTCTACCCTGAGAAGCCCTCTTAGGAAGTGTGAATCTGTGTTCTGGGCCTTATCCATGTGCTAGAAAGAAAAAACATTACATGCTCT